AATCAAAATTAGTCATATTATGATGATTTAGGATGGGGTTGGGGCGGCGGTATATTATTATGGCCAATTTTTTAATCAAAATTAGTAAATCAAAATTAGTCATATTATTATGGCCAATTTTTGGTCCTAAAGTAGGAACCTCGAGGGTATCCGTGAGGCATCGTGATGGCAAGAAACCTGACTCGCTTCTCGAGTTTGATCTACTAAGAGGTAGGCTGATACATTCATGTGATCTGTTCGTGGTGGCTGGTGTGAGAATTGATTTGTCTTTTCAAGTCTGATTGGCTCTGACCTAAATTTTTTTGCTTTTTTTTTCCTCCTAGCGTGGTTGACCTTTAGCTTCAGTGAATACAACTAAGCAGAAAAGTGGGGTTTTTGGTTTTTTTTTATCTCCTTTTTTTGAAGCGTTGGAAACGCCGCAGCACTGTTTGGTTACTACGTTCGGATAGCTTATGGAGGAAAGCGATTTTTATTTTTTGAAGAAATGGGGCCGCGGGGTCACCTCGCGGCTGGCGGCTTGGGTCCGCGTTCGACGATTCTTTCCTCTCGTGCCCCTTTCGTCCGTCTCCTCCTCTCTCTTGCCCGATCGCAGTATTGCCCTCGCTCCTCCCTCGCAAATTTTTGGCTTTTCTAAGATCTATGTCGTCTCTTTCTGCCACCTCCCTCGGCTCTCTCCTCTCCAGTTCTGTCATGGCATCTGCATCGCTCGGCTACAGATCTTCCGAGATCTCTGGAAAGCCTTTCTCTGCTTCCGCCCTCCCCACCTCCGTTCTCACCATTTCCCCTCGCTTCCAGTTCCATCTGCATCCCCTCGCTTCCATTTCCTGGCGCCCCATTCCTCTTTCCTGGTATTTGCCTCACATTTTCATTTTTGTCCGTTAAAGAGTGAATTAAAAATCTGATTTTGTCTTCCTGCAATTCATTTGGTTATAATTTATTAGTAAATTGTTGAAGATCCCATTGTTGTTGTTACTGGAGCTTTTAGAGCAATTGAAAAGCAGTGGCTTTCGCATTGGGTAAAGCTGGTGTAAGGTAAGTAAATTGTTGAATATTTAGCTGCAGTACTGAGAGTTGCGCAGCTCCTCTGTTTTCTTTTGTATAAGAGATATGGGAGTTTATAAAATATTATCATAGTTCTTGGCTTGGGTTGTAGAAGAAAGCTTCTAGCTAGAGCAAGTTAATATATCTAGTTGCAGAATCTATAATTAGATTGTCTCTTTTGGCATAGCTAGTTTGATTCAGTTATGTTCTTCTAAGCTTTAATTAGTTTCTTGTTAAAGTTCAATTTAATGGCCATGACAGGCAATGTGGTTATAAATATTGAGGCTCGAAGCATCAGCTTCCTGATAAACGTTGTGGGAGTTCTATAGGCAGCAACTTTCTTTATTCCAATTATGTATTTAGTTCTTATTAACTGAAGTTGTATTTAGGATATGTCTGTAAATTTTACAAAATGTGTGTAATTTTGTTATATTGACCTGATGCGACTGATCTTATGTGCTTGAATACATAAATTCTCATGCCCAAGTATAATTTTGCTAATAGAGGTTCACGATACACCAGTGCTTTCCTTTTTCTATCCTCTCTTCTACCTTGTTAGTGATAAACTCTGTCATATTTATTGATCTTATATCATTTTCTATTAGATTGAAATTACTGCAAATTTTAGGTGATTGTCTCCATGGACTTTGGAGGTAGATATTGCACTCCCAGTAAAATTGCATGCTTAAGTTGTTCCCATCCTGTTGCATTTGACTGTTTCTCTAATAAATCATCTTTGTGAACAGATGTTGCAGGGGGCTATGCTAGTTGGGTGCAGAATAACATATTATATGAAGTTTATTTAGCTATTATTTGCATGAATTACAATAGGTAAATAAATGAAACATACTTGGTGCATGAAGACCGTGCTAATGAAAGCTAATTTGAGTCGATTTGCCTTCTCAGTACATGTCGGCATTATAAGCAACTATGAATATGGATCAAGGACCTTCATTTAAGGGGTTTTAATCTTTTTTTTATAACTTCTAAGCTTTCGCTTATGTGAAAATAGCCTTTGCATGCTTCAAAATTCTAAAAATTCTAAAAATTCTATGAAATAAGAAACTACTTGCTTCATTGATCTCCTATTGGTAGATCTTTTTATATTGTGCTTCATTGATTCTGAAGTGTTGGATTTTCAAAAAATTCATGCTCGCATAATTTTTTTATCTACAAAGAGCAAAAAATGAAAACCAAATTCTAGAGAACTAACAGGAATAGTTAATTCTTTTACGTGCCATCCTTCTGAATCTCGTCCTAGAAAGTTAGAAACTATTAGAATTCCGTAGAACCTTCCCCTCATCACTCACACAACCTCCCGAACCCACAAGAAACCCTAAGAAACCAAATCACCATCCTCCAAACCCCCTATAAAAATACAAACAACTTCACTATCTCGCTACCATCAAACATTCCCCGCTCTCACGCATTTCGTCGAACATGTCGCTTGTCCGCGGCTGTCCCTTCTTCGCCTCTAACCACAGCAACATCTTCGACCCATTCTCCCTCGACCATTGGGATCCCTTCCAAAGATGCCCCTTCATCAAATCCTTCGCTTCCCCTGTCTCCATCGACGAATCCTCGCCGTCCCCGGCCTTCTACGCGCGCGTCGACTGGAAGGAGACGCCGGGTGCGTACGTGTTCAAGGTCGATCTTCCAGGGATGAAAAAGGAGGAGGTGGAGGTGAAGTTAGAGGATGGACGAGTGCTTCATATCAGCGGCGATCGGAAGCGGGAGGAAGGAGAAAAGACCGATACATGGCATCGCATCGAGCGCAGCATCGGCAGCTTCTTGCGCCGCTTCAAACTTCCGGGTTCTGCTAAGGCGAGCGATGTGAAGGCTGCAATGGAGGATGGGGTGCTTACAGTTGTTGTGCCCAAGGAGGAGGAGAAGAAGAGAGCTGAGGTGAAAAGGATTGAAATCTCTGGCTGAGATCTGTAGTCTGAGTTGTGTTTGGTTTTGTTTGAAGTGTTCTATGGATCGATGGGCTGTGTTTTGGCAATGTATTATAAATAAATAAATTACTTTTGTATGAAATTCTTGCCCTTGAATCTAATGATGATCATATTATTTAATTATAGTCCATAAAATTATTTAAAATAATTCAAAATTAATTAATCCAATTCTACATGTTATTTATGTGCTCTTTCCTTAATTTTATTAATTAAATCAGTTAAAATTATGAATTTATTTTCTTATAAAAGAACCAAGGAGTTACAAGTCAGAGACACAACAGCATAAACAATGGTAAATACAACAAGACAAGTAAATAAGATTAAACAAAATTAAAAGACAATTTAACAATCATAATAAAAATGGAAGAGACGAAATATCACGAGTTAGTTAAAGAAAAATAGCTCAAAAAAGAATTAGGCGTGCATGCCTTCAAACAGAGGAGAACAACATTGTTGGCCAAAGGAGCCAAAGGCACACAAACAGTACACAAAGTCAGCCAATAACAATCACCAACGGCAACCAAAAGAAAAAAAAAGTCTTAACAGCCGATTGAGAAGAACAACATAGAACAGGAGAAGAAGAATTTGCCGGAATAGTCTAGAACATACCAACTGTAAAAAAAATAAATAACATAAATAAATATATAAAATACATAACTATAGAGAAGATCAGTAGCAAGAAGCGAAAAGGAAACAACCAATAACAATAAATACAACACTTACCCTTAAAACAAAGAAAAAGCCAAATTAATTGACAGCCAAATCCGGAGGTAAAATTAAAACGCAAGCAAAAAAAAGCAAGAAAAGGAATGAAAACTCACCTAACTGAAATATATTAAAATGCCATCCAAGAATTAGAGAAGTATAAGCATATTGAATCCATCTTTAATTAAGAATTGAATACTTTTATATTTCTCTAATTAAGCCCCTAATTAACATTTGAAATGGCAATAGTGGTGGTTAGGTGAAGAAAAAAATTATCGATTTGTTTTGAAAATATAAATTGAGACTTGACCAAAGTTCTTATTAATTGAATAAATTTAAATCCACTCTATTGACTCTTAAATTTAATATTAAAAAATTAATATGATATTTCTTTACCTCTTGGCTTGAAAAGAAACGTCTAATAATTTTCAATCCAGGATGGTGGTAGTATTAACTTGTTTTTATTAATCCTAAGTTAGATATTTTTTTCCTAAATAACTCATTAATTAAGTAATAAATTTCTTCTTGGTCCTTAAATAGGATATAAATACATTTATTTTTCTCCTAATAGCAAAATTAAATCCCTTAAAACAAGAAGAATTTGATAATCTCTCCAAATTATGTTATTATTAGTGATACACTACCAACAAATTTTCATCATCCAACATGAATCTCAAGGCATGACATGAATCTTGAGATGATATTCAGAAGGTTGGCTTTGAAAATGAGCTATTCAGTTAATATTATTAGTATTACGACTAATCAGTTAATTAATGTCCAGCTATTTATCTTATAATTTTTAAAATATCAAAATGAAAAAGTTCGCCATATTTAAAATCTATATTTTTGTGGAGGTAATTTCTCTGTTATTTTGATGTTCTTCAATTCTCAGAGATTTAGTGATTTTGAAATTAATTATTTAATCCTCAGTTCTCATTTTCTGTTTTTTTTTTTTCTATTTAATTTAATTTTTGCAGAGTCAATTTATATACATATAAGAAATTTTAACGATTTTTACATCATCAGATTTTGGAAAAGAAATTAATTTTGATATTTTGCAGTTTTTAAATCTTCAAAGATTTAGTAAATCTGAAATTATATAATTTATTTTCACTTCTCATTTGGCATCTTCTTCTCTTTCACTTAAATTTCATAAGTATTTAAGAAAAAAAATTATGAATATTTAGATCTTTATAATTTGAAATTGGTACGATTGGTGGGTCCTGCACTGCAGCGGAATGTTGGGCGGTCAGTTGGATGGTTAGGCCGGCTGGCAGAACATTTATCAGCTTATTACCTAGGAACGAAATAGAAGATCCCAACCTGATATGGCAGGGAGATTGCAACGGTCTTCCTTTTCTTAATGATGACCTTCTTCTTCCTTTCACCATTCGAACGGTCCTTGACCTTTCGATCTATCTCCTGAAGGCAGCGTGGAGTAGAACATTGGTGGGGGTGTCACCTGCGGGATTTGATACATTCTCCTTCACAACACCCTGAGTCCAACCGACTCAAATGAGAGGTGTGACAGAGCAAATAAGGAATGAGATGAGTCTTATCACTTCCAATTTATAAGAATCAAATATGCAAAAATCAAAGGAGTTCAATTATTGATTTATTGGTTAAACAAATGAAATTTACTTTTGCATATAATTCTCCTATTCCTATTACAACATCGTTTTCAAAAAGCAAGATAATGAGGGAACACAACATGTACGTAAAAAATGTGTTAGTACGAAGGAGATCTAATAATCCAGAAGAAAAGAGTACGAAAAATGCAGGGCCCGTTGATAGAAGATTACGAGGTCCATTTGTCGACCGAGAGAAGCTATCAGAGTCAGACCAGTAAGTTCAAAATCGATTGAACCATGGGACAGATGAAATATGATAGAAAAGCACCATAACAAGGGGTTCGGCCTGTTAGGTATGGCTCATATCTAGAGAGTTTGAGTTCCTTGGTGAAGAGGTGTGTCTCCTGGTGAAAAGGAGTGTCTCTTGGAATAAAGGGGGTTGGGGGGAGCGAGGGCGTGATTGTAATTTTATCTGAGGGTTTGTATATGTCATTTATATGTGAAACCCTATGAGACGTATTGTAACTTCTCTGAAATAGTGAAACCGTTGCTCGCTCCCGAGGACGTAGGCAATTCTTTGCCGAACCTCGTTAAATCTATGTGTTATTCTTCTGATTTGTGTTGATTCCTATTTTATTCCGTTTCAATTTCACAACAATTGGTATCAGAGCCTCTTTCAAGGGAACAGGAGGAGATCGACGTAGGAAGACGATTTGAGAAGTTCGGGCGGTTTTACCGGTTTTGTGGCAGTTCCCAGGGCGATCGCGCGAATCAGAGTAGCGCGGAAGGAGGAAGGCCGCTGCCTGGCGATCTTCCGCGAACAGGAGTTCGTTTGGACAGAAGAGTGTCGCGGATGGGCTTTGTGCGATTCCTTCGTGCGGAATCGCGGCGCAGAAGAAGGTTCGCGGCATAGGAGAGCGCGGAAGAAGATCCGCGACAGAGGCAAATCGCGACTTCTGTGCAAAATTTTCGAAGCTTCTTCCGCCTGCGACGATAGAGGAGTTTCAGTTGCGGCTAGGGCAGAAGAGTTCGGAGACGTGCGCGAGGAGGCTATGGGGATCGGCGGCGTTCGCGAACGGAAGCTGCAAATCGCGGCCAAGGTCTTCTGCGATCAATTGGGGTTCGCGGGGTTCGCGAACTGTTATCGCGAGCAGGAAAAGTTTGCGCGAGCAGGCGACAGGCGCGATACAGGGAGTCGCGAAGGGCGAAGGATGAACAGGTGCGAGAAAGGAGTTCTGTGCGGCAAAGGAAGTGTGAAGCTCGAAGAGGCGCGAGGTTTCTTGAACCGTCGCGCAGTTTCAGTAAACAGAGTAGTTTGGCCAAGGAGTTTGGCCGGTTTAATAATTCGTGGGAAACAGAGGCTATCCACCGCGAACAGGAGCCTTGTTTTGCAGAAAAATTGAGGAATTCAGACCAGTTAAATTCGTCGGTTCGCCGCAGTAGATTTTGCGACAGGTGGAGTTACAGGTGGAGTTCGGCAGGGTGCAGGAGGCGAGCACACACTATTATTTCGTGAACGGGAGTTTCGTGGAGGTATTCCTTGAACAGGTGCGAAGGGATTCATGGCTCACGAAAACAACAATTGGCCGAGGTACTGGTACGAACAGGAAAAGTGCTTCGTGGGAAAATTTGATTCACGAATCGCAGGAGAATCACGGGATAGTTGTTGCTTTTGACAAAGAAAATATCAGGTTTCTAAAATTTGATTCACGAATCACAGGAGAATCGCGGGATAGTTGTTGCATTGACAAAGAAAATTTCAGGATTAGATTTCAAATAGCAATGTCTGGAGCAAAATTCGAGATAGTGAAGTTTGATGGAACCGGGAACTTCGGATTGTGGCAAACAAGGGTAAAAGATTTGTTGGCACAACAGGGAATTTTGAAGGCTTTGTGGGTTACGAAACCTGATAATATGGAAGATGAAGATTGGGAAGAGTCACAACTTCGAGCGGCAGGTACCATATGTTTATGTCTCGCAGATGAGATTATGTATCATGTTATGAATCTGAAATCTCCAGGAGAAGTATGGAAGAAATTGGAATCTCAGTTTATGTCCAAATCTTTGACGAATAAATTGTATCTGAAGCAAAGGCTGTATGGGCTGAAGATGCAGGCAGACATTGATTTGGTTCAGCACTTGAATGTCTTCAATCAAATAATCACGGATCTGGCACGGCTTGATGTGAATATTGAGGATGAAGACCGAGCAATGATTTTTTTGTGTTCATTGCCTACTTCTTATGAACATCTGGTGACTACTCTTACATATGGGAAAGAAACAATTGAAAGTGATGAGATTACTGCAACATTGTTGGCTCACAACCAGCGAAAGCAGAGTGCAGAGGAAAGCTCTCATGATAATTGTTTATTTGCTAAGTGTAATCAAGATCGTGAAAGTAAGGAGGAGAAAGAGAATTCTGGAAGGCAAAGTTCCAGGTCAAAGCCTAAAGGCAAGAAGATTCGTTGCTTTAAGTGCAAGGAACAGGGACATATGAAGAGAGATTGTCCAATGCTCAAGAAGAAGACTCGTGATGTATCTTCCAGGGCTGTGAATATGGTGCAGAGTGACATTACGGATTACAGTGATGATGATGCGCTTTCAGTTACAACAACTCAGTTAAAGGATGGATGGATTCTTGATTCAGGATGTTCTTATCACATAACACCTAACAGGGAGTGGTTTACTTCATACAGGTTATCTGATTCTGGTTCAGTCTATTTGGGTGATAATAGACGTTGCAATATTGCTGGTATTGGTAAAGTCAGAATTAAGATGTATGATAATA